CACTCATCATCATCACTCATCATCATCACTCATCACCATCACTCATCATCATCACTCATCATCATCACTCATCACCATCACTCACCACCACCACTCACCACCATCACTCATCACATCACTCATCACTATCATCACCTCTCCAGCCCACAGAGCCCTCTAGGAAGCACGGCTGCTGCATGCGACGTCTCCATCAAGCAGACGTTGGACGCTGCGACGTCTGGCACCACGTCACTGGTGGCACGTACGGGCAGACGTTAGTACGTCGTCGTCTTATTATTTGAGAAGGTAATATGTCATCGCATTACTAATTGATAAGTTATAACGGGTTGAGCAATTCGATACCAGGTAAACCTCGGGATTGCAACTATGTTACCCAAATAAAAATTAAGAGTGGAGCACCTATGTTTTTATGATGGCCATCGGCGGACGCCATAGGTGGAGAAGCTATGATTTATGCAGCGAATTAAGGGTGGCGTGCACCATCTTTCCCATACCTATAACATGCCTGTGGCCACGTTTGCGCTCAAACCTTACGTCCACCAAAAACTTTCATTCGTCATTGATGAATCTTTGTTGTACCATAGGTGGCCACCTCTCACAGAAAATTTAAAAAAATGCTCCCGGTTGCACCTAGCCCAGATTAAGAACTATCGTCTGTCTAATAAATGCAATTTTCTCACGTGAATTCATTTATTTGTACACGAATAAATATGGATGACATATTATTCATTCCATGGACGATTGGCACCAATCACGGATATATACAAGTGTATAGACGAGATTGGTGTCAATAATCTAGGAAATGAATTTTCTTATTTCACATCTATTCAACAATGTACAATAAATGAATGCACAACAGAGGTGGCATTTATTAGGAAGATGATAGTTTTTAATCTCGGCTAGGTGCAACCAGGAGCTTACTTATTTTGAGTGATGGCGATACAGAAGTAATTTCACGCCTACAGTCGAAACGGTAATTACTAAAGTATTAGAAGTGCTCGATCACAAAAAAAGTTCATTAGAAAAAAAAGTTCTACGCAAGATCAGAATTGTGTGGAAGCGGGTTAGATAACGATATGATATACAATGAAAATCTTCTAAAACAATGTTGCGTGAACTAGATTGAAAGACAGAATTATCGAAAATTATTTCAAATTAAGAGAAAAACACCCATTAATGCCATATTAATCCTCAACGAGAAACGCTCAATGAAGCCCCATATCATGGCTAATCCGAACGGAAGAAAAAGGATAAATAATAGAGTACGCAACAATTTTTATGCTATGTTCATTGAGATCTCTCGCATTCCTATGGTTACGTTAACAAATTAATCAACACATTCCGTAAGGAAAAATTAAAGTTAATTCTAGCCCTTCATGAGAATCGGAACAAGACATAACTCATACCATACCAGACATAAATCATAAAATTCGAATCACCACAAGATTACATTCGAATCACCAAGATCATAAAGGAGCACACGACGTAAGCAGCCGTAGCAATACGAGCAGCCGTAAAAATTAATTATATCTAAAGTACGGTATAATGAAGTCTTCACTTGGACTAGCACTAAATTCAGAAGCAACTGGCTGTGCCTGAGAAGGTTCAACCATAACCAATTCTGGAAGCATTGAATGTGTTGAACCCGCGAAGAGCTCTTCGCAAGCCACCGTTCGTATCAGGCCTGTAGCGACATCGGGCTCGCCTGATGGTGGATCCGGAAACAACATGCAGTTCAACGGGACCAAGTTTGAGGTTTTGAGCTACAGAGGTAGCGAAAGAGCTGGTGTGGAGCACCGCTACCTAGCACCTGACAACTCGGAAATCGAAGAGAAGCGACTCGTTCGTGATCTAGGAACGTTGATGAATAATCAGGTCAATTTTGGTGATCACATAAAGGTAATAACCGCAAAAAATAGGCGACAGATTGGGTGAATCTGGCGGACATTCAGAACTAGAGAAGCAAAACCGATGATCACACTCTTTAGAGCCCTTGTAATACATATTCTTGAATACTGCTGCCAGCTCTGGACCCCGTTCACACTCGGCGCAGTGCGGCAACTGGAAGGTGTCCAACAAACCTTCACTTCCAGGATCAGAGGGATGGAAGAGTTAAACTACTGTGGCGCCTGGGTCTGTACTCACTGCAGAGGAGACGGGAGAGGTATTTCTTCTGTACACATGGAAAATGATAACCGGAATGGTGCCAAACTTCGAGAGCGAGACATTCAGGATTTAGACATATCACAACGAGAGAAGGGGGGAGACTGTGCAAGATCCCCCCACTACGTAACAGATCCGCAGTCAGATTTCAATCCCTGTGGGAAGGATCACTTTCCGTGGCAGGGCCAAGGCTGTTCAACATCCTACCAAGGGATCTAAGACAGGGGGAGTTCACCCTGGAGACCTTCAAGAGACAAATGGACGTGTTCCTGAGCACAATCCCAAATCGTAGGCTGGTGACGCATGTGCAGGTAGGCTGGTGACGCATGTGCAGGTAGGCTGGTGACGCATGTGCAGGTAGGCTGGTGACGCATGTGCAGGTAGGCTGGTAAGTGGTGACGCATGTGCAGGTAGGCTTGTGACGCATGTGCAGGTAGGCTGGTGATGCATATGCAGGTAGGCTGGTGACGCATGTGCAGGTAGGCTGGTGAAGCATGCGCAGGTTCATTGGACGCATGCGCAGGTTCATTGGGCGCATTGGCATGCGCTTGTTCATTTCAAATAAAAATAATTATCGGAAAATATTTTTTTACTTTCTCTGATTTCATTAAAAAATTAAACCACGTTTCACGGGCAGGTTTTGCCAGCGTTTCGCTCAGTCTTTCGTGGGCTGCGGAAGCAAGCGACGGAACAAACGCAAGCGATGGACATACAGCGGAAATTGGGATAAATGCATGCGTCGTGACACCCTGCTTTCTCTGCCGTAAAACTGCCCGAAATCGACCAGTGAGTTGAAGTCCGGAAGTAGAGCAAAGAAAATAAGTTTTCTCCGAACAGGGTTAATTATTGATGCCTCAGAAGCAAGATTGTGTCTTCAAAATTGGGATCTGAAAGAAGAATAAACTTTGAGACATTTATTTGTAACGTATGTACAAGCAGGGATTGTTCATTCGAAATTAATGAGGTGTCAAACGAATGACTTTAAGAACGGTCAAGAGTCCGTGGCAAGAATGGGCTAGTGTCGTTATTTTGTTATGGCGTTGTTCCCGAGACCAAAGCCGGCGGTCTACTGTAATAATCGTACAAAATACTACCATAGTAAATTATGAAATGAAATTATAACTTAATTAGTACGACGACGTCCTAACGTCTGCCCGTACGTGCCACCAGGGACGTGGTGCCAGACATCGCAGCGTCCAACGTCTACTTGATGGAGACGTCTCATGCAGCAGCCGTGCCCCCTAGGGCACGGCTGCTGGAGATCATCATCACCTGTGGGCTGGAGAGGTGATGATAGTGATGATTGATATGATGAGTGATGAGTTATGAATGATGGTACCAGGGCAGGTTCCCATTGCTATTAGTCGTCTCCACCAGCAGACGATGTTCCATCGGGTATTTTTTATCACTTGGCAAGCAGGCCGCCTATACAATATGGCTACGTAGAGGTCGAGTTGTTCAACGGGAAGCGATATTAAGGGGACCATAACCGTCTGAAAATATGTAAAATTTGGCTTTTCCGTTTTCTTGGCTCATTTTGTTGCTGCTGAAAAGGCGCAAGTAACGCAATAAATCGCATGTATGTGCGTGCTCTAGTTTTTGCGTAAAACAATTAAGACAATATTTAAAATTAATATTTTTTAACAAAGATTTCTTTAAATTAAATCAGTATTCATGGATCATTACTCCTGTTAAATTCAAAGTGTTTGCACTAGTTTGAAAGTCACAAACAAGACCCGTTCAACAAAGCTAATACCATGGATATACATGCAATAATTTTTGCGTTTGGTGTTTTGAACTTTTATAAAATAACCATTTTATAACAAAATGTTTTGAAATTTTCATTTCAAATATTGAGTTTATAGCTCATTATTCGCGTTAATTGCAAAATGTTTGCACTCGCTTGAAACAACAAACGATACACGCTCAAAAACGCTATTACCACGGATGTACATGCAATGTTTTTGGCGTTAGGCCGGTTGAACTTATATAAAATGGTATTTTTATGTATATATGAAAATATAAAAAAGTCACATTTTTCGCTTAATATAAAACTGGACAAGAACAAGGGTAAAGACGCGTGCTGCTTCCGTAAATGTAACTAATTTGCAACGTGTTAGCTTGGGCTACTATCAAGCAATTTTTGACATATACTTTTTTTCAATAAATTTTATTTATTTGGCTCCTTTGAACTATTAAAATTTCCAAATTACGCCATCTTAAAAAATCCATCGCCTCCTATGATTTTCAAGATACAGTATTGAAAGACATAAGATTCGATTCGTGAAGACCATGCCTAGCAACTCTAGAAGCCCACTTTTTGTATTTGTACATGGTTTGACTTACATATGGAGGGAGGGGCGGGGGATTGGGGTGGGAAATGGAAAAATTGAAAAATGCGCATGAAAAAAACATAAGGAAAATCGAGAATCTAAGCTAAAGAGCCGCTAGATAATTACGTTGCAAATCGAATGAAATGTGTCTCGATATTGTAGCACGGTAATTGCATAAGTTGCAAAAATTTGAGAGTACTCTTCCTTTTGCCGTTTTCTATTATTTTCGCGATTTCTTTCATTTTTTGCACGAAAAAACTAAACGATCAAAATGTTTTTGTTTTTATGTTTTACGTGTGCGTGCGAAATTTCAGGAAAATCGGTTGTTAAGTGTAGAATTTTTTCCAGCACTCATACGGTCCACTTAAACGAAAGAAATTCCACCATGCTTTTTGCGAGAGTTCCTAAGCAGTTTCACTTCTTGACCCCACTCTTCTGGCCTCGACCACTGCATGCAACAGGCCTTAACCGAACCACTGCTTAACATTTTTGCTCATCTCTGCAGTTACTGCAAAGTAAATCCCGACGCATCCGTGTGGTTCTTGGTGACGTCTCAATCTTTAGAACCCTCGACGCTGGCAGCCTTGAAGGCTCTTCAGGTCACCTACCAGAACTTGTGTGTGGCTTATGTGAACTTCGACTAGCTTTTTAAGGGCACTCCGCTGCTAGAACTTTACCACTCCAGAAAGTTCTATAAAACTTGTGAGTATCTTCTCACTTTAAATGATGTTAACGAAGTAATAGCTTGTGTCTATCCCGGGAAAATTTTGAGGACCAGCATGTTTTTATTTTGATCTAACGGTTTATTGCAATACCATAGTGAGAAACTGTTCCTCGGGAGATATTGTAAATATAACAATCATGAACATCAAGTCTTTTATGAATTCGATTCCAGCAGCAATGTCGCAACCGTAAAGGTCATTTTGTCATCTTGGCAGCGCAAAAAATCCACAACCTGAGCGACATGAGCCGCGTGGCGCTGGTGTACAAGTTCGGAGGTCTGTACTCGGACATGGACGTCATCGCCCTGCGCCCTCTGGTGGGCGCCACCAACTTCATCGCGCTACAGGTGCCTCAAGCCAAACTTTATAGGAACAATTGCGGAGAATATAATACATAATTGCACCACCCGCAGGTGTCCATGGATGAACACTAATTTCTCAGTGTCGATACTTCGAAGAGTAAGAGAATAACTGACAACAATTTATAAGAGAACGTATCTGGATAATGTATAACTTTAAAATTCATGTTTTTCTTACACAGCAAGAGTTGAGAAATGATTTAAAAGCAGTATCTACATGAAGCAAGTTATAAACGGAAATATAAATCGAAGACATCTTGCAACCTGCGTTGGGTGCGCCAATAAAATCGCATGCTTGGAAAAATTTGTTTGTTCTGTTATTATTCAGGCACTAAATGATTGTGTCTGGTACTTTGATAATGGAATTGACTATTGGCATGATTGAATATTGGGATAATATTGAATTGGCAGGATTGAATATTGGCATGAACGAATACAGGATTGATTGATTATGGGCATGCTGGTTTAAGCTAGCAGGCGAGGTGTGTATCCTTTCAAGTCTAACTAGTCCCAACCTCGTTGTGGTACCAAGCGTCTTGTAGGTCAGTCAAGGCTTGTGAGTCGTTCAACTTGGCGTTTTGTTAGCTTCTTACAGCCAAGACTCATTCGGAACTAAATCAAACTTTAAGACTAAAAAATGAATGACAGTGGAAATTTATCTAACAAACTGGAATTACATCATCCTATACCAGTCCGTGCTTACTAATTTTTAACATTATTTAGATTACAGTTGGTAATTAGACACGATGATAAATGAATTTGCATGGGAAAAAAATTACAGTTGACAGGTGACTGAACTTAATTGTAATCAGCGAGCAACCAACAGTTTCATAGAAAATATTTCATAGGGGTAACTATAAAAATTAAAATGATGCTTACAGGACGACGAGATCGGCTACCTCAACCCCGCCATCCACCGCATGCGACGCCACCACCCCATGTTGCTGAGGATCATGAAGCATGTTGCTGCCAACTATAATGTGAGGGCATGTTGGGCCATGTTGCAGCCAACTATAATGTGAGGGCATGTTGGGCCATCTTGCTGCCAACTATAATGTGAGGGCATGTTGGGCCATGTTGCTGCCAACTCTAATGTGAGGGTATGTTGGGCCATGTTGCCGTCAACTATAATGTGAGGGCATGTTGGGCCGTGTTGCTCAGGGTCATGTGTTGAATAATGTCAACATGGCCCAGTAATGATGTTGCTGCTGGAGGGTTGTTATGATCTCCAATTGAGGTCATGAGGATCATCAAGATCCATGCGGGCGGTGCGGTGAGAAACTGCCTTCCTGACAACACGAGTGTTAATGCTCCACTTACCTAAGCGTCACTCAGAGTACAGCCGCAGCATCACTTCAAAATTCGTCTCGTGATAGCACACGGAGATTAATGACAAATTTACTTGCCATTGCTTCATATATCACTTGCAACTTACAGCGAATGAATTGTCCTGTAATGGCCTCAGAGCTCTGACTTCAGAGGCGAATAAGGCACTTTATGGATTTGTAGCGGTTCCGTTCTAGATTATGAAAAAATATGATAAAAATATTTAAAAAGTTAGAATTAGATTTAATTGTAGAAATAAGATTTGTTCATACATGAACGTCACCACAATGAAGACGACAATCGTTGACTCCATTCCAAATTTTAGTATTTCGATTTATTCCACCAGAACCTCTTATTAGAGTGAATATTTAGGTGAACCAACTGTCATTCCGTGCTAATTACTTTGTTTAATAGCTAAAATGATTTATACTGTTTATAATCGTTTTATATGTAATTATTTTTGTGTATTTTATAACGATTTATTGTTCATACAGGGTTCTGTACTTAGACCGAAGAAATGCGTTTTTATTTCCCACAAATTGAACGTGAGATGCTTTAGATTCTCGTGTGGACATGACACTTGTAATATCCCCCAAGAATTTCTATTGTCTATGTGGATCGCAGCTTCCGATAGATCACAACTGTATATTTCTCACTGTTCTGTATTGATCACAGCTTGTGTTCTGATCACAGTTGTGAATTCATCACAACCGGAAAATTTTTCACAACTTTTAACACTACCTTTACACTTAATAAACCTGTATTTCAGCAAGGTCATATAATTTGAAGATTAAGCTTGCATCTTGACCCATGTATATATATCGGTAATCTGATTTGAAAGTAGATCAACGAAAGATTTCCTCTGATGAGGGCAAGGCTAACGTTCTTAATCAGTTCTTCAGCAGTGTGTTCACAGATGAGGACTTGAACAGTATTCCAGATATTGAGGAGCGCCCAGTCGGCTCGAAGTTAACATGTTTTGAAATACACGAAGAAGAGGTTCTCAAGCGCCTTGTAGCTCTAAATCCCAACAAGTCATGTGGACCAGACGGCTTCCATCCCAGATTGCTCAAAGAATTAGCAACCGTTCTGACCGGCCCATTGACAGTATTCTTTCAAAAAACCTTGAACGAAGGAACTTTGCCGTCCGACTGGAAAGAAGCTCAAGTAACACCATTGTTCAAAAAAGGTGACAAAAGCAGCCCCGGCAACTATCGCCCTGTCAGTCTGACAAGTATTTTTTGTAAGCTAATGGAATCTGTTGTGAGGGATAGGATTATCGATCACTTGACTGCTCACCATCTCATATCAGATTATCAACATGGTTTTATCGCCGGTAGATCCTGCACCACTAACTTATTATCTACGTTAAACGATTGGACTCGCCTGCTAGACGAAAGGGAGCCAGTGGAAGCATTGTACCTTAATTTTGCCGAACCATATGACAGTGTTCCGCATGAGCGGCTGTTGCGTCTTTGGGAATTGAGGGAAACGTACTCCAATGGATCAGAGATTTTCTAGTAGGTAGACGACAACGCGTCAGTATTAACGGAACCGTGTCATACTGGGCATCAGTGCGCAGTGGCGTGCCACAAGGAAGCGTTCTTGGGCCTATTTTGTTCGTTGCTTTTATAAACGATTTGCCAGAAGCGTGTGCTCCATGTATGCCGAAGCGTGTGCCAGAAGTCGCCAGCGTGTGCTCCATGTATGCCGACGACACAAAAGTTTATAATACAGTGAATGATGCGTCAAATAGAGCGCAATTACAAGATGATCTTGACAGTTTAGTTAACTGGGCTGATACGTGGCAGCTGCGGTTTAATGCTGACAAGTGTAAAGTACTTTACACCTCGGGAAGAACAATGAACAGCATGATTTCACTATGAGAAGACATGGTTGCAACGAAAGAGTAATGATTGAAAAGTCTAGTGTGGAAAAAGATCTCGGAGTTTATGTCGACAAGGAGCTGAAATTTTCTAAGCATGTTGAAACGCAAGCTAACACATCCGACAAACTTCTTTGATTAATCTGACGCTCATACGAGTTCCTAGATGAAGAAGCGATGAAGCAGTTGTTGTTGCTGTCGTGCGCCTCAATCTAGAGTTTGGAAACGTTGTGTGATCACAGAGATTTGAAAAGGACAGAAATTTACTAGAGAATGTTCAAAGACGTGCAACAAGGATAATTCCAGGCTTGAAGGGCAAGTCCTATGAAGAAAGATTGAAGATTATGAAGCTTCCATATCGACGTCTGCGTGGGGACCTCATTGAAGTATACAAGTATACTAATGGTTTATACAAGGTCCCCGAAGGATTACTAGAATTTGAAACAAGAGCCGACACCAGGGGCCACGGCTATAAACTAAAAAAACTACGCTGCAACTTCTCCACGCGACAAAATTTCTTCTCGCTTCGAATCACCGAAATGTGGAACAGCCTCCCCAATGACATCGTTGGCGCTCCAAGTATGAACGCGTTCAAGAACAGACTAGGACTAGATAAAACTATGGAAAAATATATGTTCAGATTTGAAATGCCTAGCACCATATCAAACCCGGTGGAAGTCTAGTAGCTATTTGAAACTATCGTCAGTCATGAAAAGATCCGGTCAAATGAAACGATATTAGATCTTCTGTGAACTAGGCACGAAAAGGAAAAGAATCGGCGACAGGCCACATCAGGCCTACACTTCAGCGCCGAGATCAATACGTTATGTTATGTAGACGATCTAATATTTCGTTTATGATTGCAGGGCCAAACTTGGGCCGCCAACGGGCCCACTGCCACGTCAGACCTAGCGCGACTGCTAGGATGCGATCTAAAACCCGTCGGCTTAGATCGCCTCCTGAACGCTACTCACAACCAAACTTCTCAACCAATTACCCCCCGTAATGCAACCAATCCCTGTTACAAGGAGCTCATTTACATTGCCATGTTCGACTCGAAAGTTTACAAGGCGTGGGTGTTGCAGCTACGTAGAGGCTATTTAGTTGTGGTTTTGTGCCTTTATTGCATTCAAATAAACAAGCGGAGATGCAACGTTTCTTTCATAATTGATACAGTTTTTAAATGCTTCCAATTATTAGCGGTAGCATATGTTTCTTAATGTCAGTTTGCTCGCTTGTAGCCTCTGCCGCGCCATGGGCCGAGTCGGTGTGTTCTACTTTCTCTCCTTAGGAGCAGACTGGAAAAAATAGATAAACAATAACAATTCTACATGGATATTTTAGGAACTAAATGTTTTGTTCGTTATTGTTCAGAAATTTGAACTCATTATACAAATATTTTGTTATCCGATATCCTGGAGATATTTATCACTTGAAGTTTCTAGTAGTATTTAGTAAACTCACCGGTGACTCATGGGTGGCCTTCCATCGCTTGTCGTTAGTCGCCAATGACTCGCCCTTGAAATGTGCAGACCAGACGGAGGAATGCGACTGGGTGGCACTTTGGTCCAATGCCTTCATGGCCGTGAACTTCAGAGCGGCTTATAAACTTTTTCTTGGACCTGAGAAGAACGAAACTTCTCCACCCATACAAACAGTGAGTATAGATCATAGTTTGCGAGGTGTCCACTAGCAAGAGATTGTAGGGCGACTTTGGTGAATGAAATTTCAACCTGATTCTGCCAAGTTAACTTCTGGACAATGACATTTTCACGACCAAGAACATCTGTGATATGCTAACTGCCATGAATAACTGTAAAATTCTCAAAGTCAACAAAAAAGGTGTCATTTTCACGGTCAAGAAAAGTTGACATTCTCGCGGCCAGAGTAACTGTAATATTCCAACGGCCAAAATACTGAGAAATTTTCACGACCAAAAATAACTGACATTCTCACGATGAAGAACATCAGTTAAATTCTCTCGGCCAAGAAACTGTGCTATTCTCAGTGACAATAACAACTGTAATATTTTCACGACCAAAAAGCAGTGAGAAAAATTATTTTCTCATGGTTGTGATGTGCAAAACATTCATGTCATAGAAATTTATCGCTGGATTGAGAGACTGCATCTCCGCTTTGAGGATCTTATATGAACGTGTTGTGTCTAGTGCCAGATTAATAAAAAGGAACGGCATTCAGCTCACTTTAGTTGAAAGTACTGGGTATGATCTAGACAAAGGCATGTTCAAAACCAATGATAGACAAGATATCAAATCTTTATTATTCATAATTAATCATATGATGACACTCCCTAATTATAATTACAATATATTTATTTTGCAGCTGTACCCGGACAGCCTGGGCCTGCATTTCTACAACTACATGACCCGAGACAAGGAAGTACAGTCAGGCAGCCACATGCACAGGCTCGCCTCTGAATTCTGTCCAGTCGTCGTCAAGAAGCATCCGCTGCTCGCAAGCATGAACGTTTCCATTAGTTCCTAACCGCACTAGAGAGGCTAATCCCATGAATGGATGTTCAGTGACACGCAAAAGTATTGGATGCATTATATTTTTCTTCATATCTCTAGTTAAAGTGCGAGATTTTATATAATATTTGGTCATTTTATTGCCAAGGGTACTTGTAGGATTTAATTTTTTTGCAAATTTTTAGTTTGTAGAACCTAATTTATGTTGGATATTTTGGTAGTCCAATATTTGTTTGTGAGCTGTAAATTTTAGAGTGCAACGTATTTGGGTTGCTAGTTTACCGTCCGTAGCTCTTATTTCGAGTCTAAAATCGATTGCATGATGGCAAAATTTAACGCTGCAACGACAATAATAAATTCGATGGTCAACTTTTGGGAAGCTTGACACTTCGAGTTAAATAAAGAAAATGATTAGTGTAAATCAGCTTTGTATCCTTGACTGACTAATTATATCAAGATCTTTTGGAGTTATATCAAGCAGAGGAGTTAAACTTGTTGTGGATACCGGAATTGTGAACTAGGTCGGCTAGATCTTGCTGAACAATTCAAGATTAAACAGCATGGATAGTAGTATCCAGGAACTAACGCTTACAGTTTCTGGACCCGATGTTGTTCTATCAGTGCTGCTGAAAAGTGTGTCGGAACATTTTAGTTTTCACTCATTATGCCGTCAAAATCATCTATGATAGAGGGTATTATCACTGGTTATGTTAAATTGAGACTGACAACACCAATTTACAGTGGAGAGGCTAAAAACCGACGTCAACATTACGGAAAGTTGACCTTAACCTCACAAGCAATCAAAGAGTTTGATAATGGATTAGCCACGAGGCTGGATTGTACCTAGGCTTCTGCCACGGAGTCGCTACAATCGGCTTGATTTTTATTGGGTCTTCTCAGCCACCCGCTCGAAATCAGTTTCTGGTCACAATCTCCTGTCCGAATTTATTGTGTTTTAAGAGTATGGCAAAGATTGCACACAGACGAATTTTATCGAGCTGGTAAAGTCATAGAGGCTGCATTTCAAGACCGTCCAAGTAATAGAAGGAGAAGCGGCTGACTTAAGTGCTCCCGAGTCCTGAGCGTTACCAGATCCAGAGTCTGACCAGCATCTAAATTTTGTTAGGGTTGGAGGAAGCGGTGGAGTCAACATGACTTACCTGGATTTCGCGAAAACTTTTGACAAAGTTGGGTACGGTTCACCATGGATGAAAACTGGGTTTCAGGGACCTTGAAAGTACCCGGCCAATCACCTTGACGCAATCGGCAAGGCAAAGTGCAGAAAAACTACTAACATATACACCATTATCACCCTTCACCACCGTCACTCTTCACCACTATCGCTCTTCACCACTATCGCTCTTCACCACCGTCACTCTTCACCACTATCGCTCTTCACCACTATCGCTCTTCATCACCATCACTCTTCACCAATATCGCTCTTCACCACCGTCACTATTCACCACTATCGCTCTTCACCACCGTCACTATTCACCACTATCGCTCTTCACCACCGTCACTATTCACCACTATCGCTCTTCACCACCGTCACTCTTCACCATTATCGCTCTTCACCACTATTGCTCTTCACCACTATCGCTCTTCACCACCGTCACTATTCACCACTATCGCTCTTCACCACCGTCACTATTCACCACTATCGCTCTTCACCACTATCGCTCTTCATCACCATCACTCTTCACCACTATCGCT